TCTCTCTCTCTCTCTCTCTCTCTCTCTCTCTCTCTCTCTCTCTCTCTCTCTCTCTCTCTCTCTCTCTCTATCTCTCTCTCTCCCCCTTTCTCTCTCTGTCTGCCTGCCTGCCTATTGCTTTAGTTTTTCTGACAGGTCTTCTCCCTGTAGCTTTGGTTGACCTGGAACTCATTCTATAACCAAACTGACATTGACCTCAGAAATTTACCTGCCTCTGCCTCCAGAATGCTGGGATGAAAGGCTTGTGACTCCATGCCCAGCCCACACATTATTTTTTTTTTACCTACATTAGTTTGATTTCTTAAGAGTTCTGGGGCCGGGGAAGGGAGAGTGGGAACAAGTCGTTTGATGTACAAGTGATGATCTACGACTTTACTAACAACACACAGCAAGTAAGTAGGAGAGGTCATGAGTGTGTCACATCTGCATAGTTAGTATCTACCCTCTCTTTCCCTGCTCAGAATTCTCAGGAGACCTCCAGGACCTCTATGGTTAGAATGACAGGGAGTAATAGGAAGTCCATGGTGGTCAGAGGTCACACTATCTGAGATGTGGGTGTCAATCTTTTGTCCCTAGGAGTCAGAACTTAAGACTGAAAGAGCCCAAAATGGTCCCGAGTAAACAGAGAAAGATCTTCCGGGCTCCAGATCTAAAAGGCATGCTGCAAGTGTTTCAAGGTGAGAGCAGCTACATTCTGTGGTTACCTGGGGGACACTAGGAGTTCTGGGGCTGCACTCTCTGGATGGAAAGTGATGTTTCTGAACATGGGTAGAAGGACTCAGAAGAACAGATAGTGTGTCCCAGTGATGTCATCGTTTATAACGGACAGCATCATTCATCCCGTCCCATGTCACAGTTTACAGACCTTCCCCCACTCTGCAGAGCACATTGACTTTAAAGTTCTGATTCCCTTGCTTGCATTTAATGCTGTGCATTTTCATCATTTCAGGGCTCTTGGATGCCCAGCGCCACTGGGGTAAGGAGAAATCCCACCATCAGCCTTTCTCTTCTCAATGTCTTTCAGAGTTTATTCTCTACTAATACTTATGTTTTATGTGACTGCACCCAATATGCACAGCAATCTGCCTCTCTATGATTTTAAACTCAGTTCCTCCATGTTCCTCCTCACTTTCTCCTTAGGCTTCTGCTCCTTATTTCACCAATAAGGCAGTACCCTGCCTCCCATGTGACTCTTATATGTCTCATTTTTCTGCAGTTCATGTGACCCTGAATCAAAGACAAGATAAAAACATTGTCATTAATGAAGACAAAAGACAAATACAACATCGAAATGGTAATAAAAGAAATTCTCAGATTTCTAAGACCTACAAATTGGGTGTAATAGGGTATCCAGCTATCCACTCAGGAAAACATTACTGGGAAGTAGATGTGTCTAGATGTGATGCCTGGCTCCTGGGAATAAATAATGGAAAATGTGCTAAACCCCAGCTTCCTGCAGCAAATGAAAAGAACTTCAATGTCAAATATAATTCTAATGTTAAACGAAGTGTAAATTATAACCCTTTCAACTTTGACGATGAATACACACATGATTTTGGGGACAGACAATATGTGAATTATCAACGTAAACTTGAAGTTAAAGATGATTCTGATGATAAACAGCATGCAAATTATCAGCCCAAATGTGGCTACTGGGTTATAGGGATGACGAACAGGTCTGTGTATAATGCCTTTGAAGAGTGTTCTGTCACCCACAATGCCAGTGTCTTGCTCCTCTCTCTGACTCGTCCTCCCACTCGTGTTGGAATTTTCCTGGACCGAGAAGCTTGCACTCTCTCATTTTATGATGTTTCCAACCATGGAGCTCTCATCTACAGATTCTATGAACCGAACTTCCCTGATGCTGTTTATCCATATTTTAATCCTATGACATGTTCAGAGCCATTGACAGTCTGTGGGCCACCCTCCTAAGCCCTCCCTGTATTTGCACAGTGTCCCTGTATCTGATGTATCCCATATGTCTGAGGTCTGTGGCATCATTTTAACTTTTTCTACCTTTTGACTTACCATTTCAGTAACCTTCACTTCTAAATACAAACCAGTATTGGTTCTTTTCCTTGATCCAGTTGCTTGTCTGTTTAGGAGGTTATAGTAATTTATCTCTTCCCAGATTCCCACCGACAATGACTCTTTCCTCAGGAGGTGAGATAAGACCTCTGCTAACCCACACTTCCTGTTTTGTGGTGCCACAGATGGAAGCCAGGGCCTTGTGCATGCTGAGGAGGTGCTCTGCCCCAGAGCCACTTGTCTCAGCTCTGCCAAGTCTCCACAACCCCATTCCTCTGTCGCTGACAGAAGATGACAGAAAGTTCTTCTCCAGCTTGTCTATTACTTTTGAAAATATATGTCAGAGAGTCTAGCCTAGGAATGAGCCCTTAGTGTTACATCAGTTTAACCACAATGCTGTGCTTCATCAAAACCTAAGAAGGAAATATCTCCAACAGCACCCACTAAGACTTTGTGTGTTCTGAGCACCTTCCTCTGCTCCATTTCTGCCACTCCCCATAGCAGTGTAGCCCTGAATGACATCCTCAAAGGCCTATGCCTATGTCATTTTATCTTTGCATTTTTGATATTAATCGTGTTCCTATACTCTAGGTTGGTGTAAAAAAATAAATGTGGGGTCTGTTCTAAGTCCCCGAGGATAAGAGCAAGGCTGCTGACAGGGCTTAGTCACTCAAACCCACCTGTAAAGGGACAGCCAACTCCTACCGATTATCCTCTGCTTCCCACACGTGTGGTAGTATACACAAATGCAAAATGGATTATGTATGTATTAAAATGGAAATAAATTCACTGAGAATAAAACATCTTCGCAGTCACTAAATGGTTGTATGTTAGTTTGGGGGCAAAGATGCTGTACTGGGTTTAGATGCTGCAATGAGCAACTGGATAGGGCTGAGGGAGGCTAATATTTGACTTTTCTAATATTTGACTTTGCTAATTAGGTCCTGGGAAGTGTCATCAAGTCTACTCCAGTATGTTGTAGGTATATATAAATATTTGGCTTTTGAGAAATTTCAGAATCAAACATGTGAGTTCGGTGTGACTATAGCTCAAAATCTCTGAGAGATTTATTATAGGAATAGGACCTTCAACCTGAATGGGTTGGAAAACCTGGATCCACTTCATAGGGACAAAAGGTCACGTCATTTTAAAAGCCAGCAATTCTTTTTTTCCCTGCCCGAAAGCTAGCAACAAGACACGTTATTTTGCTAGCAGTCTGTCAGCTGATAAACTAAGGGGCCTGCCACCTCTGCTGCTGCAGCATTCCTGTTCCCTCCCTGCACTTCCCCCTAGGCAGGCACTCTGTGGTATTTGAACTGATAAGTCCTTCTTGCCCTCATTCCAACCTGTGTGCGCAAAGTAATGCTTTTTGCTTACCCCTTTGTCTTCATGCTATATACAAACCAGCCTGCTACCCCAACAAACAACTGCCCCAATGCAGACTTCTAGGCTTCTAATACCCTAGTCTCCGTTCTTCCCTGCATCCTAGACCACTGGTGCTCCCTGAAGTCTTGGGCCTGGGGGAGTAGATAACAACACTTTTTCAGATCCTTGAGTATTATTGTACTATTTAGTTCTATCAAGTATGTAAATCCTATGGTTTCCGTTTTACAGTGAAGGTGATAACAGTGATGCCAATAAACTTTACCTTGTGCTGTGTTGTGAAACGTAAACAATATTTCTAGGAACTTACCTCATGTAAATTGTATCCAATATGATGTCTCTTTTGTCTCCTTGCTGTGGCTGTAATAAAGAATTGCTGAGATTGAGTACCAGAGCCTGGCATGATGGTTTGGATGCAGGCCCAGCACTCAGGAGGCAGAGACAGGTGGCTGTGCATCTGAGCCAGGCTGTTACAGAGGAAGATCCTGCTCTTCTTTGTTTTGCTTTTAAAGAGGAATGTGCCAGATTTTGGATGAGGCAGTTGGTTCAAGGGGACACTCTGGGGGATTACTGCACAATAAGGAGTTTATTTGGAGTCAGATTGCCTTAAGTAGGCAGAGAGACAGAAAGGGCACACCATGGTGTTTCTGGGAGAGTTCAGGACCTGGCACCAGGAACGACTGAATGGAGGGATATCTGGAGAGTATCAGGGTCCCTGTGGCAGAGACATTTTCTCTAATACTTTTTAGGGTGAAAGTGGTGTTAGGTTCCCAGCAGAAGCCTATAGCCAGACTCTCTGATTTCCGGGCAGGAGGCAGGACAGACAGGTGACAAAAGACTGGATCCTCTGTCATGAAAACTCACTTAGGTTAGTGTGGCACCAGCAAGGCAGCTCCTAGGGACTTTTGAGTAGAACTCCATCGGGTCTCTATGTGTGACAGCAGAGAGGCAGTTACAGGGCGGCATGTAGATCAGAGATTCTAGCATTACATGCTGGCAGAGAGTGCATCAGTCACTCAAAACATCGCTATGCAGGAATCTACTTTTTTTTAAGATGTAGATTGATTTATTTTTCTTTGATTTTTTATATTTATTTATTTTTATTAAAAATTTCTGCCTCCTCCCCGCCTCCCATTTCTCTCCCCCTCCCTGCAATCCCCTTCCCCTCCCTCCCCTATCCAAAGAGCAGTCAGGGTTTCCTGCCCTGTGGGAAGTCCAAGGTCCTCCTGGTCCATTCAGGTCTAGGAAGGTGAGCATCCAAACAAACTAGGCTCCCACAAAGCCAGTACATGCAGTAGGATCAAAACCCAGTGCCATTGTCCTTGGCTTCTCAGCAGCCCTCATTGTCCACCATATTCAGAGTCCGGTTTTATCCCATGCTTTTTCAATCCCAGTCCAGCTGGCCTTGGTGAGCTCCTATTACATCAGCGCCACGTTCTCAGTGGGTGGGTGCACCCCTTGCGGTCCTGACTTCCTTGCTCATGTTCTCCCTCCTTCTGCTCTTCATTTGGACCTTGGGAGCTCAGTCCGGTGCTTCAATGAGGGTCTCTGTCTCCATCCATCCATCGCCAGATGAAGGTTCTATGGTGATATGCAAGGTATTCATCAGTATATCTATAGGATCAGGCCATTTCAGGCTCCCTCTCCTCAGCTGCCCAAGGAACTAGCTGGGGACATCTCCCTGGACCACTGGAAATCCCTCTAGAGTCAAGTCTCTTGCCAACCCTAAAATGGCTCCCTTAATTAAGATATATACTTCCCTGCTCCCATATCCACCCTTCCTTTATCCCAACCATCCCATTCCCCCAAGCTCCCCCCTACCTCTGCTCACTTTTCTCTTCCCATCTCCCCTTACCCCCATCCCACCCCACCCCCAAGTTCCCAATTTTTGCCCGGCAATCTTGTCTACTTCCAATATCCAGGTGGATAACTATATGTTTTTGGGGGTTCACATTCTTATTTAGCTTCTCTAGGATCATGAATTAAAGGCTCAATGACCTTTATTTATGATTAGAAAAAGCCCAGATGATTTTACCTTTATCAAACTATGAATTCATTCAAGAAAAAATATTCTACTTTCAAAGGTCTTCAATGCCCTTTTTGCGTATTATTTCCTCCCTAATTGTTTCATGGGAAAGCCTTTCCTGTGTTGAAATAAATGTCAGTCAGTAAATGTATTGACACAGACTCATACACATTGCCGCACTGCTCAGCAGCGTGGTCAGTGCTGTGCTTTCCTGGTCACCTTCATTCTTGTCACTGAGGATCGAGGCTGGTGGCAGACCTGACCACAAAGTCAAATCTTGACACAGAGTTGGAATGAAATTGTGGCTTCAGAGAAAGTTCACGAAGAGGTAGATGGCTGTCTGAGCATTTCATTATTTTGATTCCCAAGAAGGTCTTAGGAAGAAACAGAGGAGGCACTGGTTCAAATCTGTAAAAGACTAAGATGGTGGCTCATCCCTCTAACACCTGCACTTGCTAGATTGAGGGAGGAGTACTGCCAGCAGCTGGAGACCACACTGAACACGAGAGAGCTCCAGCCCAGTGTGGGATGTCCAGCCTCCAAAACAAAACCAGAAAGTTGTAAAGAATTTTCCATAATTATTAACAATTCAGAAGAATCAGTACACCATTAAACAAAACTCAGACTACAGTGTCATATCCGCTGTCACTCTGTATATCATATTTTAGTAGATCTGAGAATATAAGAAACACATGAGATAGGCATGCAGGAGTGGGGTTGAGACTGAAAATGGGGATGGCTCATTGTTTCCCTTATGCAGCGTTTCTGTTTTTAGGTAATTCTCATGTATCTCAGGCTGTCTTGCCATCAAAGTCACCTATTGTTGAGGACGCCCTTTGAGCCTCTGATCCTCCTGCTGCCAGCTCCAAAGCAGTGCATCCTCTGGTGATTTAATAAGAATGGCCTCCATAGGCTCCTATCTCTTAATACTTGGTAATCAGGTAGTGGGATTCTTTGAGACAGATTAGGACATGTGGAATTATTGGAGTATATGTGGAATGGGTGTGAGCTCTGAGATTTCAATACATTATGGGCATTCCCAGTGTCTCTCTGTCTCTGGCTCAGGTTTGTGTCTCAAGTGTGACCTCTCCCCTCCTGCCCCAGCACCATGCCTTCCTGCCTGCTGCCATGTTCTCCACTGTGGTGGCCATGACCTCTAACCCTTTGAAACTGCAAGTCCCAAATCAAGCACTGTCCTTATAAATTGCCTCAGTCATGGCGTTTATCACAGAAACAGAAGAGTGACTAAGACAGACACATGCACGTGTGAGCACACCTGGGTGTGCACAGTGCTCAGGATCCAGTCCAGGACTCCACCCTGCTAGGCACAAACTGTGCCAACTCAACCACATCCCCAACTCTACACACGTTCAGCTTCTAATTCAGGGGATTTCTAGGCAATAGCAACTGTCTGTAATGGAAATCCCAACTCAAACGCGGACCTATGGAGACATTCTCTGGAGGGATTCCTGGAAGGGATACAATGTATCAGATCAGCACTGGGCAGAGGCTCTGCTCTGAGCAGCAAGAGAACACCTAATCTGCAGGACACCTCTGGGCAGCTGGAGAGCCCCTGCAGCTTGCTAGTTCCACTGCTGTGAGTGTGGGAAGTGTCTCTGCAGGGCTCTGCATGGGGCTCCTCCCATCCTGTCCCTGCTGGGTGGGAATCTTGATTGTGAGCAGGTGCCCTGAACTGCAGCTTCCTCCCTGTTCTCATCCAGTAAGTGCTCAAGTCCAGCCCCAGGGGACACTGTGGTTCCCTGTCCCTCACCTTAATTTCCTGCCCTTAGGGCCACACCTGCCACACAAAGCAAAACCCAGCCAGGAGCTCAGGTGCAAGAGGAGCCTAAGAGAAGACTTTCCACCGGGTCTGGATCTTGTTCAGTCAGTTTGACCTGACCCTGAACAACTGGCTTCAGAAATTAAAAACAAACTATATAAATGATCCCTGAAAGTATAGACGAGGGAGGGGGACTTAATCGGGGGAGGGGGAGGGAAATGGGAGGCGGTGGCGGGGAGGAGGCAGAAATCTTTAATAAATAAATAAATGAATAAATAAATAAAATGGTACAAGCAGAGTAGATCAAACTTCCATGTTTACAGAAACCCAGACTGCAACGATTGACCAATACCTGTTTATTTACTCTGTTTTGTTCAGATAGTAAATAAAATTCTTAATGCTTAAAAAAAAAAGAAATTCAAACAAAACAAAACAAAACAGTTAAGTTGGGAAAGCCAATTGTAAGAGCTCTCCAGACAGGCTGTGCTGATCTGAGGGGAGTTCCTTCAGTAGGTGGAGCTGGGTATGCTTTTGCGGAAGCATGCTATTGGTTTGTCCTCCTTCTGTAGTTTCTCTTTCTCTTCCTGGGCTCAAACTTTCGTTTCTTCTCCTTGGAGTCGGAAGTTCTGGATTGGTGCGTTAATTCTCCGTATTTTGCCACCTTCGGGTTGGCTGCTGGTTGGCTGAGCAATATTGGGGACAGAGTTTGGAGGATTTTTTTCAAGAAAAGCATTGCTTTTGCTTGGGTGAGTTTGTAGCTAAAAAGGAGGATGAAGAGGGAGGGGCCGTCGGGCTCTGTTTGAAAATGCAGATGGAGGAGCCTGGAGGAAGGGACTGCCGGTGGGGGAGGGGAGGGGCCTGGTTTAGAGATGGCTTTTAGCCAGGTCCAGTCGCCTCCTGCCATTTTGTAATCTATAATTTTGAATTGTACCTTGACGAACAAAGTTCCTTTCTCTACAGCTAAGCTAAGTCAGAGCCTCTTTTATTGAATATGTTTTTGTGTTATAATGTGGTGTTTCCGCAGTCGCTGGGACAGTGGTTCTCAACCTGTGGGTCGCGACCCCTTTGGGGTTGCTTGAGCCCTTCACAAATGTAATTCTATGGTTGGGGTCACTCCAACATGAGGAACTCTATTAAAGGGTCACCGCATTAGGAAGGTTGAGAATCTCTGCCCTAGGAACTCTTAGGGCTCCTCTCTGGGTTTAGAGCTAGAGGCTGTGAGCTTGTTAGCCAGTCACTGACTCCCTGTGATATTTTTAAGCCAGGACTTGACCGCTGTTGTTTTCTTCTCCTTAAGCCATTTCCTGAAAATTGAAGCAGTGCTTAGTCCATGTTGAGATTACATCTACACAAAAGGCCAGAGGATCAGAAATTGAAGGCCTTTATGGGCAACTCAATGAGCCTCATTTATAAAATATTTTTTAAAATGTTTTGTGACTTAGCTCAGGGGTGGGTAGGCTCTTTTCAAGCCTTGGGTCCAGTTCCAAGGGAAGGGAGTCTTCGAAGATGGGCAGACGAAGGACGAGGAGGCTCACTAGAGTAGTATATCTGAAGATTCTCCCAGAAGTGACCGCTTTCCTGTTGTCTCTTAGAGAGATGATACATTTTTGTTTCCCCGGCTGGTCTTCAACCCCTCAGTCGGTCCCATCCCCACCTCCCCGTCACTAGAGAGGCAGGTGCACATCACTACTGCCACCCCCTTTTCTACCTCTAAATAATGGAAATTAGAGTCTTGATTGATTTGGAAAAAGTCTGATTATAAAAGATCATGAGAACCACGAGAGTAACCAGTTTGATCAGGGATTTCATGGTTTTACCCAAGCTAATCTGGGCACCCAGGAGACATCGACGAACCTTCTTATGATCCTGTTGGTTTTGTTTATTTCATTGCATATTGTGCCGGCTGGGCAGATAGCACATGCCATTAATCCCAATACTAGGAAGGCAGAGGCAAGAAGATTTTTGTGAGTTTTAGTCCAGCCTGATGTACATAGATGTTCCAGGGCAGCCAGGGCTGCATAGTGAAAATCCTGTCTTCAAATGAATTGGAGAGAAAGAGAGAGATCAACTCAGATGATGATTCCTTACATTTTCCTAGAGTCTTTCTGTTCTTTTTGTTGTATTTCTGTTTTCTGCATTCTCTTCCCATCGTATAAGTTTTGGCTTAGTTTCTTCTTCTTTTTCTACTTCCCTGAGGTCAAGAATTAAGTTATTTACTTGAGACTTTATTTGTTTTTTATTTATTTAATGTAATTTTGTCCCAGTGGTCTCCCCTCTTAGACTGTCTACAGTACCCAATGGAATTCCTTGTGATGAATGCTTCTAAACCTCTTTTGATTTTTTTTCTTTGCTCATTAGTTTAGAGAATGTTGTATAATTTCCATGTGTCTGTGAGTTTTTCCCAAATCCCTCTTGTAGTGATTTCTAGTTTTATACCACTGAGGTTAAAGAAGATATTTCATTTCGTTCTTCTTACATCTTGAGACCCAGTCTTGTAGCCCAGAGGTTCCTTCTAGATCAGTGTTCACACGTGTGTGTGTGTGTGTGTGTGTGTGTGTGTGTGTGTGGCTGTCAGTGGGGGGATAGTGCTGTGTATGGCAGGGTTAGTGCAATTTCTTGCTGAGTTCCTGTCTGCCTTCTCTCTGTTTCATTTCCTTATGGAGCACTTAGAACAATGAACAGTGCCCCTTTGTTCTCTCCTTGACCTCTGTCTTTTACATGATACTTTGAGATTGGTATATTTATTTATCTTTTTATCCTAAAAAATATTTTTAAAAAGGTGATCATATTCTTTCCCCTTCCCCAGTTTCTTTCAGATTGTGCCCTCCTTTCCTTCCATCCAACTTCATGCCCCCTCCCTTAAATTTTGAAAATAAGTTTTCTTCAGTGCTCACTGGGCACATCAGTAACATTCCAAGGCTAGCCTCTTGCTTACTGTGCATATCAGTAAAACTCCAAGTGGATCAAAGACCTCAAAATAAAAGCAGATACACTGAACCTGACAGAAGACAAATAGTGGAGTAGCCTTTGGTTCAAAACCAAACACTTTGGTCTAAAAAGAAAAAGTAAAAACAAAACAAGTAAACTAAGTTTCATTTTGTTTTGAGTTGTATATTTGTGGGCCTGCCTATGTGTATGCACATTTGAAAGGGGATGGTTGGGGTGGTTACAGCTGGTGGATTCCTTGAAGCTGGAGTTACAAGTAGCTGTGACCTGCTTCACGTACTTGCTAGAAGTCTACTAGAATCGTCTACAAAGTAATAGACTCTCTTGAACAATAAGAAAAATCATTGCCTATGTGAATCAGGAGATGGACTGTGTACACTCCAGGTCAGCACAAGGCTATTTGAGACTGGTAAGCAGAGGGTCAGAGCACTGACTGGTGGTGATGAAGGAGAAAGTAGAGTGGGGGATAAGTGAGTAGTTTGATGCTTATAACACTGAAGATATGATTTCATTCTGGGAAAGAAAGGGAAGGAGAGAAGGTCGATTACACGAGACTGATGGAAGGAAACATGATCTTCCTGGTCTTCAGTGGAAGGAAATAACAATCCTGCACCTGAAATTAGTCATTTTGGATGAAACATAGCAGAGGACTTGAAAGGATGACAGCATTCTTCTTTGCCATGTCTCTGAACTTCTTTCCGAATCTCTCTCCTTTCTTCTTTTCCCTTATCATTGAGGGCATTCATTGATCTCTTCACGGTTCAATGCTGAGTTTCTCTTTCTCACTTGTCCCCCTTCTCATCATCCCAGTCACTCAGGTACCTGAGCAGAAGTGTCAGGAATACAGACAGACAGACTCAGCACCACAGCAACAATGGCCTCATCAGTCCTGGGGATGATCAAGGAGGAGGTGACCTGTCCTGTCTGCCTGGAGCTTCTGAAAGACCCTGTGAGTGCCAATTGTAACCACATCTTCTGCNTTTATTTATTTATTATGTGTACAATATTCTATCTGTGTGTATCCCTGCAGGCCAGAAGAGGGCACCAGACCCCATTACAGATGGTTGTGAGCCACCATGTGGTTGCTGGGAATTGAACTCAGGACCTTTGGAAGAGCAGGCAATGCTCTTAACCTCTGAGCCATCTCTCCAGCCCCAGCATTGGTGGTTTTGCACTAACTTTAGGAAAGAGCTTTGAGTTCGTTACCTGTTTCAGAATCTGAGACCTAGACCTTCATTTGAGAAGTGGCACATATTCTGTGTCCTAGAGGCTGCTGTAACACCAGACACTGTCCAGCTCTCTGCACACCAGCCCCACTGGCAGCTCCAAGCTAGAGAAGAAGCCTAAACTTCTGTGGCAGGATGCATTTGTCTTTGTCCCATAATTCCTTGTTAATTGTTAACCTTCATTTAAACTCTTGTGTTTTGAATTTGGGAAACTTGGACAACCCCATTTCTACCATTGTTTATGTTATACTTTGTGCGCACCTCTAGTCTTGTCTGTCTTGTCTGTTATTTCTGATTTTAATTGCTTGTTATTTTGGTTTTTGTATATGCAGCGCTTGTGGCCAAACCTTGGACCTTGTGCATTCTAGACCAGTACTGTGTATTGGAGCTATTTCCCAGGCCCTTTATTCTCAGAATTCAATATAGGATAACTGTAATTAAATGTTTAGATGCATAACTGCAACTAAATGCTTAGATATTGTTACTTTTGCTTTTGTGTGTGTGTGTGTGTATGTTTGTGTGTGTGTTTTAAGGCAGGGTTTATCTGTATAACACCTGTAGGTGTTCTGGAATTCGCTCTGTAGACCAGGCTGGCCTCAAACTCACAGCTTTGCCTGCCTCTGCCTCCTGAGTGCTGGGGTTAAAGGTGTGTGCCACCAAGACAGGTTTACTTTTGCATATTTATCTCAGTTGTTCATATTGTTTCTTTCCCTTAGCTTCTTTGCCTTATGCTATTGTGGTCATGGCCCATCCTTGATATCTGCATAGTCAGTGTTCATTCTGTTCCTCTCTTTCTTTCTTTCTTTCTCTCTCTCTCTCTCTCTCTCTCTCTCTCTCTCTCTCTCTCTCTCTCTCTCTCCTTTTCCTCTTCTTTTTGGTTTTTTGAGACAGGGTTTCTTTTCTCTGTAGCTTTGAAGCCTGTCCTGGAACTCGCTCTGTAGATCAGGCTGTCCTCAAACTCAGAGAGATCCGCTTTCCTCTGCCTCCCAAGTGCTGGAATTGAAGGTGTGTGCCACCACTGCCCAGCATTCCTCCCTTCTTACTTGTCCCTCTTTTCATCTTCTCAATTGTGCAGGTTCCTTAGCAGGCGTGTCAGAAGTCAGGACAGGCAGACCCAGGATCACAGCAATTATGGCTTCAGAATTCATGATGAATGTCAAGGAGGAGGTGACTTGTCCTATCTGTCTGGACCTCATGGTGGAACCTGTGAGTGCAGATTGTGGTCACAGCTTCTGCCGAGCCTGCATCACACTGAACTATGAGTCGAGCAAAGATGAAGAGGGTGAGTTCATCTGCCCTGTGTGCCGAGTGAGTTACCTGTTTGGGGATCTGAGGCCTAATCGGCATGTGGCCAACATAGTGGAGAGGCTCAAGGAGTTCAAGTCCAGATCAGGGGAGGAGCAGAAGGTGAATGTCTGTGCAAAGCATGGAGAGAAACTCCAGCTCTTCTGTGAGAAGGACAAGGTGGCCATCTGCTGGCTTTGTGAGCGATCTCAGGATCACCGAGGACACCAAACTGCTCTCATTGAAGAGGCGGCCCATGAGTACAAGGTAAGAAATGGGAGGAAATTGTGGGAAATAGAGCAAGAAGCAGAACCTACCATGAAATCTACTTCTTGTGCCCATTCAGTTGCTTGATCATCGTGGAATAGAGGCCTGGGATTTCATTCCATCCAGGTACCTTCTGAGGCCTGAAAGAAGAGGTCAATCCCCTGAGCTTAATCTTAAGAGAATCTACCAGGGCTCAAACTCTACAACAAGAGCAAATGTTTTTACAGCTTGTTGTGTACGGTTGAGATTTTTACGTCCAAGAGAAGCTCTGATTCTTTTTAGTTGGGCTGGAGAGATGACTGAACACCTTGTTGCTAAGTGTGATGACCCGCGTTCTAACCCAGAAACCACATGATGGAGGGCGAGAACTGATTGCTGCAAGTTGTTCTCTGACCTCCACATGCCTGGGGTAGCACGAGTGTGGGCATACACAGGCACATGCCCGCACGCACACATGCACACATACAAAATGAATTAGGCCGGGCGGTGGTGGCGCACGCCTTGACTCCAGCACTCTGGAGGCAGAGGCAGGCAGATCTCTGGGAGGTCGAGGCCAGCCTGGTCTACAAGAGCTAGTTCCGGGACAGGCACCAAAGCTACAGAGAAACCCTGCCTTGAAAAACAAACAAACAAAAACACAAAATGAATTAGCTAGTTAAAAAGACTAAATGAAGTAAGTTGTTATACCTCATTTCTTCTTTCCTTGCTATCAGTTTTTTTTACACATTAGTGTAAAAAAATAAATCAGTTTAACTGGGTTTGGTAGCAGATGCCTGTAATCCCAACATTTCTGAGGCAACTGGAGCAAGGATTCTTTACATAATGAGACCACCTTATTATTAATTTATTTGCTTGCTTGTTTTTCTCTCAGTTGCCCTGGCTGTCCTAGAACTTGTGGCTTTGAACTCAGGGATGCACCTGCCTCTGCCTCCTGAGTACTGTTGTTAAAGGCATTTACCACCCTGCCTGGTTTGAGAACACCTTTTTAAAAGAGGATAGGAGGATGGAGAATCTTTTTGAGTTGAGGTGACCTTATGACTTTCTTCCAACTCCTAGACTCTAGTTGCATTCTCTCGGTTTCGACCAACTTGATTTTGCCCATTTGCCTTCTTTTCTAAGATTTTATTTATTTATTATGTATACAGTGTCCTGTTTGCCTGCAGGCCAGAAGAGGGCACCAGATCTCATTACAGATGATTGTGAGCCACCATATGGTTGCTGGGAATTGATCTCAGGACCTCTGGAAGGGCAGACAGTGCTCTTAACCACTGAGCCATCTCTCCAGTCCTCCTGTTTGCTTTCTTTTTAATGTTTATTATCTATTTGCTCTTAATAGATTTAAAAGTTCTATGTGGTGGTGCACACTTTTAATCCTACCACTCAGGAGACAGAGGCAGGCAGATTGGCAGATCTCTGTGAGTTGGTGGAGAGTCTGGTTTACAGAGCTAGTTCCAGAATAGCCAGTGTGATACTAAAAAACCCTCTCTCAAAAAACAAAAACAATATCATAAAACATAAAAAGACAAAAATCATATGTGTATTTATGAATATATATATGTTATGTACATAATTTATATCACATTCCTTTAAGGAAACGTAATGGTCTAAAGCCTCCTGTCTTTCCAGAAGAGTTTCTTGGCCTTTGGCTAGGAGCAGCTGTCCTACTAAAGCACACAGCTTGACTCTGCTACAATTCCTCTCTTACAGGGGAAGCTCCAGGTGGCTCTGCAAAAGCTGATGTCAGACAAGAAAGAATTAGAGAACTGGAAAGACGACCTTCAAAAGGAGAAAACTTCCTGGGAGGCAAGTGGGGACCCTACCTTCTAAGGGAGTTAGCCTGATGCCTGGGAGGGACCTGGGCAAGAAGCTCCCTGGCTCTTCATTCCCTGGAGGCTGATGGGGACAAGAGGCCTTGATTAGTCCTCTCTGCGTGTTCCCTTGGAGCTGGGGCTGCACAGAGAGTGCATGACAGCTGAGCCTGGCTGTGTGAGGAGCTGACACCATGGTGGGAGCCTGGTGAGAATGGCACTGAGTCCTGGGACTTGTTACTGTGGTGCTTTCTGGAACTCTCACTGTTGGGAAGATGCTTGGGGATGGGTAGATCATGACAGACAAAACAACAACAACAAAAAACTTGCACTCGCACATTTTGACAGACTGAATAATTCTTCCATTATCTTTCCATTCTTCTTATCTCTGAAGAATCAAATACAGAAAGATGTAGAAAATGTTCAGACAGAATTTAGAAGACTAGGAGACATCCTGGACTCTGAAGAGAAGAATGAGCTGCAGAAGCTGACACAAGAGAGGGAAGACATTCTGAGCATCCTGGCAGAGTCTGAAAGTAAGCATGCCCAACAGAGCAAGTTGCTAGGAGACCTCATCTCAGATGTGGAGCATCAGCTGCAGTGCTCAGCCATGGAGATGCTGCAGGTAAGGTGGCAGGAGGTCGGCATCTGAGAGTCAGGACACTTGGAAGTCATTTCCCTCCCTCGGTGCTGCTGTGATCTCTCTGGGGAGGACAGTAGGGCTCTCTAGGCTCTCCCAGAACTCCTTCCAAACCAGTTTCATAGGCTGGGAAATCATTGCATGCATAAATGACAAGGAGTGGAATCTTTATTATTTAGTTTATCAAGTACAGCACAGAAGATAATGTTTGGGGAGGAGCTCTGTTGAAGGCATGGGTATGCATGGCACCTGCTCTTTCTGAGCGGAGCTGTGTGTTGTTTAAGTACCACATTAACTCTAGCTAGACACTGGCAAGCAAGAAACTTGTAGTTATGAGAGGTGTTTATGTTGTCCACCGTAGGATGAGTTGAGGCTTCTCCCCTCTTCAGTGGCTGAGCACTTAAGAGCACTGACTGCTCTTCTAGAGTGCCTGGGTTCAATTCCAGCATCCACATTATAGTTCAACACCGCTTGGAACTCCAGTGCCTTCTTCTGACCTCCACAGGTACCAAATGTGCTGGTGATGCACAAGCAGGTGTGCAGGCAAATGTTCATATGTATAAAATAATAATAAAAGACAAGAAATAGTGAACTGGAAGTATTTTTAAAAAGTATTTGAGCTACTTGAGCCACTGAACATTGTAGTTTTTGTTTTATTTTGCTATTTAAAGAAATGTAAATTTTTTATTTTATTTTAGTATCACATTTATTTAGGTCATTTTTACTCCTTAAAAATATTTTATGTACCATGTGGTGGTGGTATCCACCTTTAATCCCAGAACTCAGGAGGCAGAGACAGGTGGATCTCTGTGAGTTTGAGGCCAGCCTGGTCTACTTTTATGTCACTTCCAGGGACTGAGCCACATGCTTGTATGGCCAATGCCTTTCCCTGCTGAGCCTTCTTGCAGCCCAGAGTTAGCATTTTGCAGCATTTGTTGGAGATGTCTCCAAGGGAATGTGTTTCTTCCATCTAAGTTATAAAATTTATAGGCCATATTGGTTGTAGGAAGTCCTCACCATCTTTTCAATTTCTTACTTCCCTATTGTGTTCATTTTAATTATAAAAACGTACATATTACAGGGTGTTTTGCAATATGCATACATTGTGAAATACTACATGGAGCTGGCTCACAAATGCATGGCCCCACATTGTACTGCTTTCTTTGTGTGATGGCAACACTGAGTCTTTTTGTAACTGGAAGAGTATGTTATTTACTACCCCCTCTCACTGTACTGTACAAGACTAGGAATTTATCTTTTGAGCAATATCAACCCACTTTTCTGCCCAACTACTGTCCGCACTCACTCTAGTCTCCTATGAGATCTTCTACGTAGTCACGTGATATCATGCGGTATTTATTTGGTTGAACCTGGCTTGTTTCATGTGACACAAACTCTGTTGGTTCATCCGTGTTACCGCAAATGATTGCGCTTCCTCTTTTATAAAGCTGTCTCGTACTCCATTGTGTACGTGGACCACCTTGCTTTTGTCCATTCATCTGCTGATCTGTGCTGAGGTTGAGTCCGTATGTCAGCTATTGGTTTACGACTCCAGCTTGCTCTAGGCAGGCTTGTTTGAACTCCAGATATGCTGCCACACATCTGTATGCTTAGCTCTTTGGGTCCATGAAATCTTGTGGATTGCGTTGGGTGGGCTACTCAGTCTAGGGGTTAGTAACCCACCCGCAATCAAGTTATTCCAGGGTCTCGGAGGGGCGCTACCTGGAAGGGAATGAGCTAAGACAGAAGAACGAGGCCAAGCAACTTTGTCAAGGCCTCAGTTTATTAGGGACGGGTTACAGTTTATATATGGTAAGGGATGAGGGGCAGGGTACGGGATCTCGCAGGCCGCGTGGTTCCGGTCACGTAGCTCGGTTACATTCAGACAGACAGGCCAGAAGTCACAAGTGGCCACACCTGGTTCCCTGGATAGCTGGAATGTGAGGCGGGTTCCGCTAAGATTAGCAGTTAATTGGGTGAGGGGCAGGTTTTGTCAATAGAACATAACTATGGGTGTGAGGTTCTCTGCAGACTCCCTAGAGTGATGGTCTCTGTAATGATTGTTAGGGGGGAAATGGCTCCTGACATATTCCCCCTCTCTTATATAAAGGCAAACAGTTATTAAGTGGAGGGCACTAAGTCAGAGTCAACCCTGGTGTCAGATTTAAAAGAGAAGGGACTGGGACAAGTAGAAACCCTCCTCTCGAATGGTGAAGCAATTTTACCTCTCATGGGAACAGAGGGGTGCCTTATGATTAGCATTAGTTCCTTGGAGCTTCTCAAATAAAAGGTATCTAGCAAGAATTAAAGTAAGCAGACCACAGGGCATCCTGTCTTAGGCTGTGTGGAGAGCTTTCCTCGTACCTGGCACCATGCCATGTTGAGCCGGCCTTTACAGCCTCTGTATGGTGTGCTATTCAGGTGAGGATCCACACTAACTCCCGTCATTGGGTCCCTGCGTCTATCATTAATGAAAAACTGTGAGGAACTCCTCGAACAAAAGATATGATATAATTTTGGGCACCAATAACTCCATCTTCAGACAAGAAGAAAGGGCTTTTTCCAAACCCAGTATTCACCTTTTAGTCTGGCCTAAGGTATCCTCCTTCCTAAATGCCTACTCCACATTAAAATTATGAGTGCTGTTTGCCAAAAATTAGTGCAGTGTAAAGGGATCTATATCTAAAATTTTTAACATATGCACTAAACCCAAACATTTCACAGCATGTGTCAAACCTTTTCCAGCCTCTATAAGCAGTTACAAATATCATTAGATCAATTTCAGTAAGAGTACAATGACATACATTGTTGTTAACAAATACCACCAGTTCCAGTCTCTGAGCAACAGTGACAGGAACCCCAATCTTCCCCCTTCTTAAGTGAAGAGGCGTTAATATTTTAATTTAAAATGAGTTTTGTGTCCCAAAGATTAAAACAGATGTTTAGTCTGCATCTCAGCTTCAAAGCAAACCAGAGTTCAAACTGTAGAGGCAGTTCAGTATTTGTACTTCAGGGCAGGTGGAATTCCTGGGTGAGGTGAGCTGGATTCAGCTATCTGAAGCACATCCTGGCACTTATCTCAGGCTGGACTCTGGAGACAGGATGACACCCCGCAGAGTGGCGTAGCAGGTTCTGTTATCAGGCACTCTTCTCCTTGGGGGCAGGGAAGGCCGGACCAAGGACCTTTCTGCAATCATCTCTGGAACTCCTCTGTGGGATGTCTGCAGCCACGACTCAGGTCCAGATTTTTTCTTTCTGTGAAAAAACATAAACACATCCTCGACCCCAAATATATATAGGTCGGGTTTTTTCATAATGCATTGCAAGGGCTTTTCCACCTTGCCTTAGCAAAGGTCAGCTTGGTGTTATCAGGCCAGATCCGTTTGCATCAGGATCTGCTTGCAACTTCTATGAGCTGCTTTCAAGGAGTCTTGTTATGCTCCATAATAATTTTTATTATTATTATTATTATTACTACCATTAACCATATATGTAGTTCCTCCATTGGAAGAGCCATTTGTAAAATTTTAGCATAAAATCCTTTAAGGGATTTTTTGCTATAACATTAGCAAAATACAGGCAATGATCTGGGAAAAGATCATCGTTTTTGGCCTTGAATTGAGCAAAGGCAATTGTCCAGGAATCAATCTTAAAATTATCAATGAATCTATTATTTAGTATAAGAAACATTGATCATAGTCAATATTTTATCAAACCATTTTTTCAGATGTTATCCTGTCCTTTTGTACCAGACAGGCTACTGTTTTAAATTAAGAGTTTAATATCTTAACTGGCAAAATTGAGAAGGTTTAGCCATAAACAGCATTTTTTATAAAACTGTTGTAGAATAAGTTTTACATTTAATATACATATTTGCCATAGCTGAATTATAATTAATATACTGTATTTGTTGATTATTGTATACTTTACCTGTTTGAGTACCTGCTAGGCTGCTTTAAGCTCTCTATTGGAAACTGTTTTTTGTAAGAATTTTACCTAGCAGCTCAATATCTCTCATAAGAACATTATAAGTAGGGCTTTAACCATTGGACATCCAAAAGTTTGTAAGCTATCCTCCTCTTAAGTTCCAAGTCTGCCTTGCAGATAGGAAAATGGAAAAATGAAGCATTTTTTAACTAGTAATGCTGGTCTCATTAGACACCAACATGTAGAAGAATGAAAATAGATCTATATCCATCTCCATGTACAAAATTTAAGCTCAGCCCAAATGAGCCAAAGGCTTCAGCATATAAAAATTTTATGTTGAACCTTACAGAGAGAAAAATTTTTGAAGTACACCTTGCCACATTGTAAACATAGCCTCAGTGGCACAAACATTGTGAGAAACCATAAATTATATCTCCTGAGTTGAGAACCTTTTGTATAACAAGGCTATAGAGTGCGGAAAGATCTTTACTTATCATAAATCCATTCCAAAAATATGTGAAGAACTCAGGAAATTAGTTATTAAAAATTTAATCCAATAAAAATATTTGTTATAGACCTAAACTGAAAAACTTTCAAACGAACCCAAAAATGACTGAGAGACGCCTAAAAAATGTTTGAATATAACATCCTTTAGCCGTCAGAGAAAGGCAAATCAAAACTCTGAGATTTACCTTATCCTTGTAAAAATGACCAAGATTAAAAATTATTGTTAACAATCTATGCTTAAGAAAACGTGGGTAGGAAAAAAACTTGCTGGAAGTGAGCTGCAGCCCGTGGCGGCAGCAGCAACCTGTGTTGGAAGTACATACTGCACAGCCATCCCTGAATCACATACAGCACTGAAAAACCTGGAGAAATCCAGACTCTCCCAGCAGGAAGAGAAAAATCAAAAATCCAGGACTAGCCTGTGAGGGCACCAGACCTCATTCCAGATGGTTGTGAGCCACCACGTTGCCGGGAATTGAACTCAGGACCTTTGGAAGAGCAGGCAATGCTCTTAACCACTGAGCCATCTCTCCAGCCCTCTCAGCAGGAAGAGGAGAATCAAAAATCCAGGGTTAGCCTGTTCAGCAACCCTGCACCAGGAACTAACTCAATACAAAACCAGACTGCAATCCTGATAGCAATCCCCGAGAAACTGCAATCCTGAAAAACTAGTTTTCCCGCTGCAATGATCACAGTACTGTTTTAGGAACTAGCTGATTATGACACTGGGAGTGGTCCCGAGAGGCAGGGAGCCTCCGTAGGTTTTTGAAATTTTTATGACCTTTCTGGACCACCGGGCTGTGGTCTTCTTAAAAATTCTTTTTTCCGGTCACTGGGGGTCGAACTCCTCCCCCACCAACCAAGGCCACGTGTAAGCGACCTCAGCAAGGACGGTCTTTGGCAAGCCATGGGGGGGGGGGCGCGCCCTCCAAGACCTGAGTGAGAGTCTCCCCAGCAGTGAGGGACCTCCATTATGTAAAATTAGGCAAATATCTACCTCAAAACTTAGCAGTACCCCTTTTGGGCCTAAATACAAAGTTGTTTAACCATACCACAAGGACACGTGCTCTGCCATGCCCAGAGCAGAACTTTATCATAGCCAGAATCTAAAAATAACCCAAAGGTATCTCTTTTACACCTAGGATAAATGAGACATCATCCTTTTAAATATCCATGAATACCACAAAATATCTAGGAGTGACTTTAAGCAAGCAGGACAAAAGTTTTTGGGTCCCGTCATCTCTGCCTGTGAAGGCGGAAATGTTTTTTACTTTTAACCATTATCACTTGCTAAGAGTATAACTCTGGCCCTTGATAAATTTAGTGAGAGGCCTGAAGCAACACCTGGCAGCAGGAAAGAACCTCAAGCTGAAACATTATGATTCCCACCCAAGAGCGGGCCGTACAAACGAAAATTGTCGGATAAGAATTTTAAATCTTGAAAGATCCCCTACTTTCTTGCGAAAGCAGAAGAAACACAGCAAAAATGACAATTTCACTGAAAGCAGTCTACGGATTCAGTGTAAATGTCCATTAAAAATTATAGCAACATTTCTCACAGAACTCACATACAGACTTTATGTAATGTTCATTAAAATTATAGCAAAACTTTTCACAGAACTCAAAAGAACAATACAGAACTCAAAAGAACAATCCCCAACCTTATAATAAAGAAATAAAAACTCAGATAGCCTAAACAATTCTAAAAATCCTCTGAATGCATCACAATCTTTGACCTTAAAACTTTTTCTACAGAAACACAGTACTGAACTTAATCTACCTTAGATATAAACTTTTACACCTACAAACTAAAGATTTTTGACCAAGAAGCAAGATTTTTGAAATGGAAAAGAAGCATATTTACATGCAGCTGCAGCTTTTTGAGTCTAGACTCCTTTATAGCAAACCTGCCTGTCAGCTTTTGCTCCATGTGGCAGGGAGTTAAAGACATATACATAAAGCAAACACATAAATCTCTGTTTTTGACTCTTACTCCTCTGTCCCTGAGTGAATGCTTAAATTCCTGTATGAATTTCTCTTCCTTTGAAAGTGATTGTCTCACCCCTTGTGGGACGACGTGAACCTGCGCCTACCTCCCGTTCTGCCATCTGTCCGAGTCCTACAGCCGCAGAACCTTCATTTTTCTTCTTGTTGTTGTCCCGGGACTGCGCGTGTCGTCCGATAGCTGACCGTACTCCGAGTCACTGGTTCGGGCGCCACTGTGGATTGCGTTGGGTGGGCTACTCAGTCTAGGGGTTAGTAACCCACCCGCAATCCAGTTATTCCAGGGTCTCGGAGGGGCGCTACCTGGAAGGGAGTGAGCTAAGACAGAAGAACGAGGCCAAGCAACTTTGTCAAGGCCTCAGTTTATTAGGGACGGGTTACAGTTTATATATGGTAAGGGATGAGGGGCAGGGTACGGGATCTCGCAGGCCGCGTGGTTCCGGTCACGTAGCTCGGTTACATTCAGACAGACAGGCCAGAAGTCACAAGTGGCCACACCTGGTTCCCTGGATAGCTGGAATGTGAGGCGGGTTCCGCTAAGATTAGCAGTTAATTGGGTGAGGGGCAGGTTTTGTCAATAGAACATAACTATGGGTGTGAGGTTCTCTGCAGACTCCCTAGAGTGATGGTCTCTGTAATGATTGTTAGGGGGGAAATGGCTCCTGACAAAATCTGACACCCTTTGACCTCTGACCTCCTTTGGCCCCAGGCACCAGGCAGAGCCAGAGAACAAGATCCTGTTCAAAATACACACCCACACATGGGAAAATATAGATTTTTTTTTTTTTTTAAAAACAGGGTCTCTCTATTGTAGTCCTGGCTCCTGGCTGTCTTGGAATTTGCTTCCAATTCAAGGATTGGCCTTGAATTCCTGCCCTGCCACCACCTGGTTGGGATTAAAGGTGTGTTCCACCACCTGGCGAATCATTTTTTTAAAATAGAGATTTTTTGTTGTTGTTGTTTTTGAGACTGGGCTCTCTGTATACCTTTGGAACCTGTCCTGGAACTCGCTCTGTAGACCAGCCTGGCTTCAGTCTCACCTCTGCCTCCTGAGTGCTGGGATTAAAGCTGTGTGCCGCCACCAACCAGCTAAATGTATTTTTTATTTATTTTATGTGCATGAGTGCTTTGCCTGCCTGTATGCATGTGTACCATGTGTGTGCCTGGTGCCTCTGGAGGCCAGAAGAAGTCATTGGATCCCCTAGAACTGGAGTGACAGATGGCAATGAACCACTATGAAGAAGAGCAACAAGTGCTCTTAACCATTGAACCATCTCTCCAATCTAAGTATGAGATTTAAAAAAAAACAAAACAAAACTTAAGGTGGAAAAATTATCTTTAAGGGGAACATTGGGACACTGTCAGGTTCCACATATTTTAGAAATCGTTGAAGCTATGAAAGGCTGTAATTAAAGAATAAAAAAGTGAGGCCGGAGAGATAGCTCAGCCGTTAAGCATACATGCTGCTCTTGCAGAAGACCTAGGTTCCATCCCAGAACCCACATGGTGACTCACTACCATCTCCAGTTGCATGAAATATGACACCCTCTGACCTCCATGGGCACCAGGCAGGCATACAATGTGGTGTACAAACACACATGCAGACAAAATACATATAAAGTATAAAAGAAATTTAAAAAATAAATTTAAAAAGAAGTTAAAAGAAGAGAGATAATAATGAGAGGAAGAAATGTAGGACTAAGAAGAGAAGCCCATGAGATGTGGGTGAAAAGTCTGAGAAAGGATGTGATAGAGTAGGCTGTAGAGACACAACCATCTAAAGCCTAGCAGAGCAAGTCACAGACAACAGCCAAACCATGGTGTGGCATGTCAAAGAGTGGAGTAGATACAGAAAGAAAAGAAGAAACAAGAACACTACCCTAGTTAATTTCTGACATAGTTGTGCTGAGTTCAAAGATGACCTTCTCAGATCCCTTTGGCTGTAGGCGGTTCTCCTTGGTGCTGTGTCTGAGCAGTGAGTGGCTTACGTAGATCTTGGGCGCCACCATGTTCCCGTGTTCTGATGTGAGCAAGGACAGGCTCTAAGTCCTTTCCAAGTGCTTCCTTCAGACCCCTGCGCTCCTGCGGGTCTAGTGTATGTGAGGAGCACCCCATCCTGATAGTGTTGAGTGCTTTGACACGTCCCAGCATGCTGTGCACTCTGGGAGTCCATTGGTGGAGAAGATGCCTGCCACCCACAGTGATCTCTGCCACCTTAATCAGCTCATTTACAGACTGTCACTGTAGGAAATGGCTCCTCGTGTGTTATCATGACTGTTGTCTCTCACAGAGTCTCAGTTGTGAGGATGCTCACCCGCCATCTTAATGAAAAGTCTTAACTCCTGTTTTCTCTGTTCCTGTCTAGGGAGTGGATGACATCATAAAATGGTATGTATGGCTGCCAGTGGCAGTCTTTCCGTGTGGCAAGAATGACTTAATTTTCAAGTAGAACATAATTCTCCCAGGTTGGGGCAATTTAGATTTAGTATTGGATTTCTGATCAAAAAACAGAGACCGAGTGTGTTGCCACTGTTGAGAATAGATTAGAGCCTATGGTAGAGAAAGGGGTTGTGAGGAACTATTTGGCTCAGTAGTGGGATTAGGGATAAAGACTGGGGTACTCTTAACTCCATTGTAATGTCAGCCCTTTACCTGTGTGCTTGCATGTGGCTCTGGGTCTGGATTTAACAGGTGCTTGGTTTATGGTAGATGGGATGTGGCTTCCATGTCTGCAAAGTACACAGAATTGTCCATTGGCAAAATTCCTATATGTTCACATTATTTTCTCCTGAGACTAGAAGACATCCAGTCTTGGGGCTGGAGAGATGACTCAGAGGTTAAGAGCACTGACTGCTCTTCCAGAGGACCTGGGTTCAATTCCCAGCACGCACATGGCAGTTCACAACTGTCTGAAAATCCAGTTCCAGGAGATTTGACACCTTCACACCAATGCACATAAAACAAAAATTTAAATAAATCATAAAAAATAAAATAAGTAAAAAAGAAGACATCCAGTCTTTCTGGATGTACTTAGATTTGCAACAATAATCTTGAATCTCTGCACATACCAGTTTGATACAGGTATGAGCGACTGGTCCATTTCCATCCCATACTGTACAGGAGATGACAAGCTTGCCTCTAGATAGCACACCCACATAACCACACCGAGGATTTTCCTAAGACACTGGGATCATATTAGTATTAGTTTGATATCCTTGTCTTTTCCAACTGTTTGTAATCTTTATAATAGAGCCTGAAAAATTAGGTATTATCTGCAATTCTCTATATTGGCTAAAGGTTTTGAAGCCATCCGACTTTCCCAGATGTATTTCCCATACTTGATTTGTGTTGAGCTCCAAGGTGTGTGTTCTGTACTCTACTATTTGATTTTTCCCCAAGAATCCACATTCATGAAAATATGTCTCCACACCGTTTTCTCCCAACTACCTTAGCTTTGGTTTGTTTTAAAATTTATTATTTTATCAAGGAGACAGAGTGGGAGAAAATAAGTTGTTTCATTTTTAGAAGGCAAGAACCATGATTCCGAGAACATAAGGCCTTCCCATCACTGCAATTACTGAAAGTAAATTGGAGGGACACAATTGTGCTTTTCACATCCCCAGATGGCAGGCTACCCTCCTCAGCATCCTTGAGAGCTCATGTGCATCTGTGGTTTGAAATGAGAGGAAGTAGTAGTGGCTGGGGTATTAATTGTTTTTAATTTCTAGGAGTCAGGCCTTTTCACTGACGAAGCCCAAAGCCATCCCCAAGAAACGAAGACGAGTGTTCCGAGCCCCTGATCTACAAGGCATGCTGCAAGTGCTTCAAGGTGAGGAGAGCTATGTTACATGGCGGGGCTTTGGGATTCTAGTGGCTTCTAGACAGGGACAAGGAAGAATAGATACCACATACTGATGATTGGACCTTCTCTGATGGGACATGACCTTTCGTCTTTGACCCTGTTCTGGTTTTCAACTCTTGCCCAATCTGCAGAAGTGGACTTTAGATTACCTTTGCTTGCATTTAAGATTGTGAATTTTTGTCCTTTCAGAACTCACAGAGGCCCAGCGCTACTGGGGTAAGGAGAAAACACAGCACTGTAAGCCTGCCCCTCTTCCCACTGTCCTGCAGAGCCTATGTTTCTGTTAGACCTCATGTTGCTTCTCCCAGGCTATGTAATATGCTTCTGCAATCTGCCTCTCCAGTGATTTCTACACAAGGTTCCTTCCGAGCCTGCACACTTTCTTCTTAGACTTCTTTTGTTTTTGTTTGTTTTCCAAGACAGGGTTTCTCTATGTGACATTCCTAACTGTCCTGGAACTAGCTCTGGTAGACCAGGCTGGCCTCTAACTCACAGAGATCCCTCCTGCCTCTGCCTCCCGCTGGGTTTAAAGGCGTGCACCCCCACCACCTGCCTTAAACTTCTGTTCCTAACATCATAGTATTTCCTGACCCCATGACACTCACTCCTGTCATTTTTGTGCAGTTCAAGTGACGCTGGTTGAGAACAACAATCCAAACACTGCCATTTCTGCAGACAAAAGACAAATAAGATATGAAGAAGAAACAAGAAATTTTGCATCTGGGTGTGAGAACTCTCATGATGGTGCCCTGGGCTACCCATCTATCCAATCAGGAAAGCATTATTGGGAAGTAGATGTGTCTGGAAAAGGTGCCTGGGTTCTGGGATTAAGTGATGGAAGCTACCTCTTCAATCCGATATTTCATTCAAATGCTGAAAGTCACCTAAATCCCTTAATTCGTTTGGGTCTTAGCAATAATTCACATTATCAACCTAAATATGGCTTCTGGGTTATAGGGCTGTGGAACAAGTGCGTGTATAATGCTTTTGAGGAGTGTGCCTTCACAGGCAAGCCCAATGTCTTGACCCTCTCGCTGATGGTTCCTCCCTGTCGAGTGGGCGTTTTCCTCGACCATGCAGCCGGCACTCTCTCGTTTTACAATATTTCCCACCATGGGACTCTCATCTACAGATTCTGTGCAAATTCCTTTCCTGATAATGTTTTTCCATATTTTAATCCTAGGGGATGTTCAGTGCCCATGACAGTATGCTGGTCAGACTCGTAAAACTTCATCTGTTTCTGTGGAGGGCCTTTGGCTCTGGTGTGTATCTTATTCACCCGACCTCATGGGCACCATTTTACCCATAAATATATATGGAGATAATTTGCTGTCTCTAGCCTTCCTGTGTGAACATCTTTCACTAGTAAATAAAATATATTCATTTCTTTGGGCCATATTCTCAGTTCCTTGGTATTTTAGGTAAGAATAGTAAATCATTCACCATATATTCAAGGACAAATATTTGAGTTTTCTCTATGGAAGATAAAACTGCTGCCAAATTCTTCTTTTATTCTCCAGTCCAGAGACGGAACCCAAGGCCTCATGCGTACTGAGAAGGGCTCCACGACTAACGCGCTTGCCTCAGTTCCCCTCATGTCTCTGTACCTCATTCTACTCCTCAGTGAAAGGAAAAGAAAGGAAGTTCTTCAACAACTTGTCTACTAGTTTTGAGAATTATACGTAGGAGTCGATGGTTAAGAAATGTACCCTTAGCAAGCAGGCCATTTTTACCACGATTCTTCTTCATCAAGGAACTAAGGAGAAAACATCACAGATGATATGCAGAGAGTCGGCCGTGCGTGCGCTCCCCTAGGCAACATGTCTACCCAAAGGGGAACGATACAGAGAAGATTAATATGGCCCTGCTGAAGGATGACACACACATTCACGAAGTGCTCCTTTTTTGTTTTGTATTTTTGTATTTTTGTGACAGGGTTAGGGTTAGCTATGTGTAGCTCTGGCTGTCCTGGAACTCACTTTGTAGATCAGGCTGGCCTTGAACTCACAGAGGTCTGCCTGCCTATGCCTCTCAAGTGCTGGGATTAAAGGCGTGCGCCACCACCTAGCACCTGGCACATGTTCTATATTTTTGAAGAATATTAGTGTCCTAAAACATCTTAGACAGACAGACACACACACACAGGCACGTGCATGCACATCCACACACTAGAGGGAGAGAGAGAGAGACAGACAGATTGAGAGAGAGTAGACAATGTGGCCAGAGTACCTGAGTTCAATCCTCGTTCTAGCATGCCAGCGGTCCTGGTGTGAATAGCACACTTAACCGATATGCTTATTCTGTTATAATTTTGCTGTAAAGAGTGCAGGTGCCTCAAGCCAATGTAAGGAAATGAGTATGAAGCTGGCGATACAGTTCAGTGGGTAATAGCCCTTGTCACCAAGCCGAGACACCTGAGTTGCATCCCCTGAACCCATATTCATACAATATTCCCTCTGAATTCACATGCGCTGTGGCATACAGAGACCTAGACACATACATCAACATAAAATGAGCAAATGCAATTTTTTAATCAACTGAAGTTTCTCAGTTGGGTCTGTTAATTCCCGTGAGCCGTACACTGTGTTTTAGTGTCCCATGAAGCCATGGGCAGGTGGGGAACAAAGACCGGCTTTCTACCAGTCTTATTTCTAGTCCCTAGATAAGTCCCTTGATCACATGACTCCAGGGCTCTCAAGGGTGTCCATGCGTGTGTATGCGTCTTCTTTCTCACTCTTGAGGGTGATTTGGTACCTTATTGAGGGCTGAACTCTGTGGCATTCTGATCTTTCAGTGTATCGTAAACATAGACAATAGAGTATTACTAGAGACTTGCCTTGTTTCAGCAGTCCAGTATAGTGTCTTATTCCACTGGGGAGGAGTGTCTTTATCACTGTGACTAAAAGAAATTATTAAGATTCTGTACCAGATCTTCCATGGTAGCTCATTTGTGCTATCCCTGTATCTGGGAGGTTGTGGCAGGAAAATTGCTGTGTATTTTAAGTCTCGTATACAGAGCGAGACTCCGTCAAAAACAAAAATAAAGTGTATATATTGGCTTACTTCAAAACCGTTACTCCACTTTGTTTTAAGAAATGAAATAACTAGATTGCAAAATCCTAGATTTTTTTGTTCTCATAATTTGTAAATGTTTCTGTTTGCTAAAATTAAAATTCTTAACTTCAGAGCTTTCTGACCTTTATTATATTTCTTCAATAATTGTGTTTCATGGGAATTCCTTTCCTCTGTTTGAAATAAATGTCAGTGTGTATTACGTGCAGTTGGAATCTGACACATTTGTGGCACTGCTCAAGACCCGGGTGGCCAGGGCTGTGCTTGCCTGGTCACCTTCAGCCTTTTCCCTGAGGTTAGAGGTTAATGGTAGACCTAAGGGACACAAAGTCCATTTATACTTTTTAAGTTTTAAAATAACTTTTTAAGATTTATTTTATTATTTTGGGTGTATGCATATTTATCCTGCATGTATGTCTGTGCACCACGTTCATGCCTGGTCCTGTGAAGGTGCTGAGCGGCCATGCGAGTGCAGAGAATAAACCCAGGTTCTGTGTAAACACACGTGTTCTTAGCCACTGAGCCAACTCCCCAGCCCCAAGTCTGCTTCCTTTACAGAGACAGGAGGAACACTGTCTGCAGAAAAGCCCACACACGGCTAGATGGTTGTCCGTGTATTTTAACATTTAATCTGGGTGTCTGTCAGTGGTTATCATTCAGTGTCTAGGTCTCCTTGTTCCCTAATGATGCAGAATAACAGTGAAGCGCAGTGGGCGGACGCAATGTTAGAGCGATACCCACTGTTGCTTTTCTCGTGTCTTAACTTAGCAATGAGGAAAGTTCCTACCAAAGGGGAAAGAAAGATTTTTGTTGGTAAGGAATTCTTCAACATGACACTATTATTTGATTTCTCCAATACTGTGACTTTCCATTTATTTCCCCCAACCAGAATTTGGTGAATTAACAAGATAAAAGGACAGATTAAATTTTTAGATGCAAATGAATTATAATAATTTAAAATGACATTATAGATCGACCTTTTTGAAAAAATAGAACTACTCCACATGAGGTTACACATATTGGATCAAACTGTCAAGGAAGAAAAATTAGCATTTTAAGACAATGGATTGTTTAAAATACTCCAAATATCACGGCTGATAGCAGTCATGTCTTGTTAAAAGCTTGACTCAAGAGCAGTTTTTTTTTTTTTTTTTTTGGTTTGGTCTGTATGTCAGCATCCCTCATCTAGTATCTCTATAAAGGCTATACTTTGTTCTTGATTATTTTTCTTTATATATAATACTATCATGTCACATATTGTCCTGTTTGAAGGCTGATCTATAATAGCCAGACTTTACTTCTGAATACCTAAGAGTATTAAGGGCATACCAAGCAAAAGTTCAAGTACAAAACAGTCCACCGGTACCTAGTGTTTCTGGTACTGCAGGCAATGTCGTGCCGTGGGATAGAGTAACCGCTGTTGGAAATGGCTTACCCTCTCAGTGTTCTCAGGGACTCGGATGTCTTTAATGGGCTTCTCCTTTCCTGGCACAGTATCATGGCGTTGGAGTGTCTCTGAGGACATGGGATAAACATGCTTACGTCTGTGACAGACGTCTCACCGTGTTCCCGTACTTCTCTTTCAATAAGCACAGACATCGTGTGCCAATGTACTAATTTATATTACAGTTATGAATGCTATCTCATAAACAGTCAGCAGAAGTAAAACAGGCTTGTCTCGCAATGATAGTAACAATGATAGGATCTGCGGGTTTCTTCCTTAAAGGCAGGGCCCAGTCTGAATGAAATGGACGGGGCAGCTGGACAGCATGCATGCATGAACTCATTGCTCTCTGCTTACAATCACAGATGTAGTGTCCAGTCACCTCAAACCTCTTTGTAGTGTGGGCCACCAGCTCACAAATAATGACACAGAGACTTACTGCAGCCTGGCCTTAGCTTAGGCTCATTCCCAAATAGCTCTTTTTTAATTTTATTGCTAGTTATATTTACTATTTATTGGGAACCAACTAGTGCTTATAACTTAACCTGTTCCTAGTTGATGTTCTGCCACCTGACTTTTACCTCTCCCATTCTGTATATTCAGCCTGCTCTGGATCTCGCAGGCATCTCCTGCATGCCTAGATTCATCTCCTCTTCCTCTCTCTCCCTGGAAATTCCAACTCTCTCCTGCCTAGCTATTGACCATTCAGCTCTTTATTAAACCAATCAGGTGCCTTAGATAGGTGAGACAAAACATACACACATCTTCATGCAGGATAAGCAAACACTCCCTAACCTTCCTTTGACTTTCCGGCAGTGAGAAGCTGGAACCTCCCTGGACTCCAGCCCTTTCTCCCATAGGCTTTCTTTCCTCAGGGTGCTTTGTTACAGCAACAGGAATTAAACCAGGACTTGAAAGATGTAAAACGATTATTCAGAAATAACACACTATCCAAAATGGAAGTTGAGACAATAATGTCATTCACAGTACCAACAAAATAAACACTTAAGTCCTGACCTGCCGGACTTTCCCTGGGCCTGAGAGGTATGGCGTCGAGACACCTCCCCCTGGCCACCAGAAAAAACACACACACTGAGTTGGGAGGATGTCAAAGCAAAATCTTGTTTAATTGTATTATAAGGCAGGAACTTGTATAGGCTGAGATATGGGGAAAGCCTGGGATGGGCTGAGGTGGAGAAAGGAACAAGGGCCAATAATATTCTGCGACAATCTTAAATTACACGCATTTCAACTTACAGTTTAAAAACCTCTGCATTTGTTACAATGAGAGAAAGGACCTGAATTTGTAGACCAGAAATAACTCCACTCTAGGCTCATTACTGCTTATATTTTCTATTCCTTGACTCCCTGTTCAATGTGAGATATCTTGGGCAAATCGACAGTCTCATTAGTGATGGTTACGAGGCCAGTTCTTATGGATTGTTTAAATAACAGGGATGAGTGGCTAACCGGCTTTGACACATTGCTTGAAGACAGAGGGAAATACAGAAGTCGAAGGGCATAGATGGTATGCTGATTGGTCTAGCTAGTTCTCGACTTGACTTGAGCTGTCTTTGAGGATATCAACAAGAGTAAATGGGTAAACATCTCTCCTAACCACATCTAAGCACGACTTAAAGTATTAAAGTACAGAAGGGAGACCACGGGACGAGATGCCTGAATGGCACAGGTATGTCCAGATGAAGGCGAGCCTCAAGGCAAGAAGTAATATCAGAAATGGATGAGCATGGAAAAACTCAGGAGTTCACAGGACACAGGGTCATGGGAGCTGGGCAGTCCCAAGGATTAAAGTATGGATAAGCAGGGTGGGAAAAGCAGCATTTAAAGAACGTGTAAATGAGTGACCCATGGTTTGTGACATTGAAGAAGGACACTATGCCCTCTTCACAGTCAAGGAAAACCCCAACCCGATGGAGAGGGGCAGCCACAAAGGGGGTCAGAACGGTAGGGTCACAGTTGGAAGAATCCTCAAAGATACTATACTTTGATCCATCCTGTAACCCTATAACCCAGTAGCCATTCTGAGGTTTGTATCTGTGGCAAACATTTGGCTGATTTTTGCCTCTCCTGACATCAAACTTTAAAGTACGTTTTCTAACGTAAACTCCCAGTGTCCAGGTATTCTTTTTAGACACATCCACTTCCCAGTAATGTTTCCCTGAGGAGAAACATTTGGAGCCCAAGATACCATTATTATAACACTTAAATGGCCAAATGGGCACAGATGTTACTTGTCTGTGATCTTCTGAAAGAATGAGATTCAAATTTAGGTTTTCTGGATTAAATGTGAAATCCGCTGCGAGAGAAAAAAAAAAAGGAAAAAAAAGGTCAGGTGACTAATACAGAGGTGGCTTGTTTGATGACATCATGAAAAGCAAAAACTGGAAAGGTTAGAGGGAAATAATACTGATCGATTGTGGGAGATGGTAAAACAATACAAAAATGTTATACAGTTGTTTTAGGACGGTGTCTTGCTAAGTAGCCCAGGTTAGCCTTAGACAAGCAGTTCTCCTGCCTCATCTCCCTAGTGCTCAGATTATGTCAGGAGCCATTTCCCCACTAACAATCATTACAGGAACCATCACCCTGGGGAGTCTGCAGAATGCCCCTCACCCAATTAGCAGCAATCTCTTAGCGGAACCCGCCTCACATTCCAGCTATCCAGGAAACCAGGTGTGGCCACTTGACTTCCTAGCCTACCTCCTGGCCTACGTGACCTGGAACACGAGGCAAGAATCCAGTTACCCTGCCCCCCATTCCTTACCATATATAAACTGTAACCCGTCCCTAATAAACGGAGGCTTTTACAAAATTGCTTGGCCTCTTTCTTCTGTCTTAGCTCATTCCCTTCCAGGTAGCGCCCCTCCGAGACCCTGGAATAACTTGATTGCAGGTGGGTTACTAACCCCTAGACTGAGTAGCCCACCCAACGCAATCCACAAGATTATAGGCATATACCACCATAGGGCCTTAGAGGAACACTGTGTGTGTGTGTGTGTGTGTGTGTGGTGACACTGGAGACAACAAAGGTAATGAGACCTCACTGAACCAACCCTTCGGAAAGGTGACCAGAATACCGTGATTTGAAGATCTGCAACTTCTTACCCCAATAGCCGCGGACAGCTGTTAACTCTGAAACAATAAAAGATTTGGTGACTTTTATCAGAGGCAAAAAAATTGGAATACTTCTCTCTAGAGGTAAGGAAGGCTGGTAGAGTGAATCTGCCAGCTGGTAAGTGAGAGACCAAACCGAATCCTTTCCAGTTTTCCCCAGACACAACTGGACCCTCTTCCTCCCAGGATGCCCCTCGCTGACCCCTGCTCTCTTCACCAGCAGACTTACCCCCCCCAGCGGCCCACACCCACACTCGCCACTGCGCCTCACTCACCTCTAAACTGTCGGAGCATGTCGCTCAGATCAGGAGCTTGGAATACCTTCTTCAGTTTCCTAGAAACCGCTTTTGGCTTCTTCAACGTCCAGATATGACTCCTAGAGATGAAGAAATATTTTACCTTTACCTGTCTCCTTGTTGTCTCTGACTCTACTGCCTTTATCCCCTCCACATCACTGATGAACTTGATACTTGAACCTCAGAGAAAGCCCTGACCTTTTTTTTTTTTTTTTTTTTTTTTTTTTTTGTGACAAAGTTTCTTTGTGTTGCTCTGGGTATCCTAGAACTCGCTCTGTAGACCATGATGGCCTCAAACTCATAGAGATCTGCCTGCCCCGCTCCACAAAAACAAACCCCCAAATGAGTCTAGTTTTAATTTCATGTGTTTTAAAGGAAGTTGATGCTATTAGATTGGCAACTCCAAGGCTGAGTGGTGGTGGCTCACATCTTTTTTTTTTTTTAAACACCTGTGTTCCTTTTTTTTTTCTTTTCTGTTTTCTTCATTTATTATTTTTTTGGTACAGGGTTTCTCTGTATAATACTTTTTTTTTTAATATTTATTTATTTATTTATTATGTATACAATATTCTGTCTGTGTGTATGCCTACAGGCCAGAAGAGGGCACCAGACCCCATTACAGATGGTTGTGAGCCACCATGTGGTTGCTGGGAATTGAACTCAGGACCTTTGGAAGAGCAGGCAATGCTCTTAACCACTGAGCCATCTCTGCAGCCCGGTGGCTCACATCTTTAATCCCAGTGTTGTGCCCAGATTACAACCCCCAGAGAGGCCCAGACTGTAATAAGCAAGGTTTAATCAGCATAATACAAACATGTTTGGAACCCCTGTCTCCAAATGACAGAGGGGTAGAGAGAGGAGTTATATCTTTTTGTGGGGTGAGCTTTTAAAGGCATAACTACAAAGAGACTCTTTGACTACTTTGACACGGGTACAAGAACTTCTGCTCCCTCCCATTCTGTTAAATCAGCTTTTTCCTTGTTCTTAGAGAAATGCCACTGTTTTTGAGTTAGGCCATCTTTATCAGCTTGTACCAGGTGGCTGGCTGGGCTGAGCTAAGTGACCTTGTGCTCTGAATCTCCCAGGTGGGAGAGGGGAAGGCCACTATCTTCCTGGGAAAACATTCTGCTAGGAAATTTCTTCTTGCCCCTTTGAGAATAAGGGGTGAGGTTCCTACACCAGCACTCTATGAGTTAGAGACCAGCTTAGTTTAGAGTGTGTTTCAGGACAGTTATAAAGCTACTGAGAAACCCTGTCTCAAAAAAACAAAAACCAGATTGGCAAGTACAGATGAAGGATTATACTTTACCACAAGAGCTTTGTAAAACATGCCAAACAAGAGGATAATTTTTGGAAACTTAGATGAGAATCACAAACCCCGAGGTGTGTGTGTTTCTAAAAGTCGTTAGAAATCTTCTATTTTCAGTGAACAAAGTCCCCATGGGCTGTTTAGGCCTTGGTCAGGCTTTCTGTTTACGAAACACCTGTGAAACAGGAGATCCAGGACTGGCAGCAGGGAGTCTGCAGGAGTGAAGTTAAGTCACAGGAAAATGATGCTGACTTCTCTAATGCCCTTTGTGACCCCAACTCTGACTTAAAACGCCACATTCACTACCACTGAGTCTAGTTCATTCTCTGAGGGGATGAGACGATTCAGTCTTTATCTGGGACCAGCAGTTCTAAACAATGTGGCAAATGTCCTTGACCTGGGAAACAGTGTTTCACTGGTACAAAGATATTGGTAATGGCTCTTGGTTTAGTCAGGATTTCTATGGCTGTGATAAACACCATGACCAAACACAACTTGGGGATGAACAGGTTTATTTCAGTTATCAGCTATCATGTCTAGACCACAGTCCATCATGAGGGGAAGTCAGGGCAGGAACTCAAGTCAGGTACCTGATGGCAGAAACTGAAGCTGAGCTGAGACCATGGAGGGGTGCAGCTTGATCCTCACTGCTCACTCAGTCTGCTTCCTTATACGATCCAAGACCATACAGTACAACCCACTTCAATGGTCAACCAAGAAAATGCCTCAGTGGCTTGCCACAGGAGAATCTAATTGGTTCATTTGCTCATCTGAGGTTCCCCTTTCTCAAAAGGCTCTAGATTGTCAAAACTGACAGGAAAACTAAGAGGGACAACTACTAATCCTTCTGTACTACACAAACCCCACTTGGAGTCATCCATACTTACCATTTCAAGGTACCGCTCATATCCTAGGGAGAAGAAAATAAAATCACAAGTCACAGAGTGTGAGCTTAGAGCAGGGTTAGGGAAAAGGAGCAAAGGAGGAGGGGGAATCAAAGAATCAAGAGTAAATTATTTTATTTTTTTTCTAGATAGCTTCTTTAGATGTGGCCCAGGCCGGTGCTAAACTGTTGATCCTCCTGCTTCAGCCTCTTCAGCACTGAGGTTACATGTATTTGCCAGCAAAACTGGCTAAAAATATGGTTTCTTTCTCCTGTGTGTGTGTGTTGTTTGTTTCTTGTTTTCTGAGACAGGGCTTCTCTGTATAACTCTGGAGCCTATTCTGGCACTGCTCACAGAGATCTGCTTGCCTCTGCCTCCCAAGTGCTGGAATGGTATTAAAGGTGTGCACAATCACCATCCCGCTAGTTTCTTTCCTTCTCCTTCTTAAAAAGTAATGTAAAGGGCTGGAGAGATGGCTAAGAGGTTAAGAGAACTGGCTTCACTTCCAAAGGTCCTGAGTTCAGTTCCCAGCAACCACATGGTGGCTCACAACCATCTGTAATGAAATATTCTGCCCTCTTCTGGCCTGCAGGGACATATGCAGGCAGACCACTGTATACTTAATAAATAAATAAATCTTTAAAAAAAAAAAGTAATGTAAAATACCAACAGAGCTGGCAACCCTTAGGCTAAACACACCAGGAAAAAATAAAGGAGAGGTAGAGTTTTCAAATGGGGAAGAAGAGATGAGACACTGCCACTGACCTTGAACAAATTCAAAAAGAATGGTGGTGAAACAGACCTTTAATCTCACTCAGGAGACAGGGGAAGGAGGTGGGTTACATAGTAAGACCCTGTCCCAAAATAACCAAAACAAATAAACTAAAAAGTTTCTACACCCTAAAAAGCTTCTCTTCCGAGTCAATAATCCAAAGCAAACCAAATCAGAAAAAGCCCAGGTTTAATGAATATCAGTGTTCCCAGATGGCTTTCCAGCCTCGCAGAAAGGAAGACCAGAAAAACACGTGTTTGTTCTCTGTGTTTTTTTTTTTTTTAAATTCTCTGTGGGAGTGGTCTTGAGCATCTCTGGGGAGGGGGTCACCGTTAGGTGGGCTTACTCAGAGGTGGAGTCTGGACTGGGGCAACGACCAGGGGAGGGGCTGGGGGTGGAGCTTCCACCCAAACATTCCTGACTCTGGGTATAAGGGTGCCAGGAACACAAACAATCAAAACTGAAAAGAACCACAGGAGCTGGGGTGTGTCTTGGAGGTAGAATTCTTACCTAGCAAGTGTAAGGCCCTGGATTCAACTCCTCAAGCCCTCTCCACCCCGGTTTGTTGTGTTATGAACGAAGTAGGTAAGTTAGAGGAGAGGAACGGATCCCGGAAGTGCAGTGATTCAAGAAGAGAGAAAACATGCATAGGATGAAAGCATGCAACGAGATTGGATTGGAAGTCAAGCTTCATGAAAGGAAAAATCAACCATGGCTTCACTGCTGAATTTTACTAAAAGCTTAAAAGAACAAGGAACGCGAATATTTTTAAAATTCTTCTAAAAGATACAAAACGGCTTTATGTGACACTAAAATTGTTGAAGCATCACAAGAAGAAACCAACGAAAGCATCATGGAGCTGGGGTAGAGCCTGGCAGGAGGGTGCTGGGGACAAAATGAGAAAGGGCAGTCATGACAGCCTAGTGGGTAGAAGTCCTGCTGCCAAGCCCTGGACGCAGTCCCTGGGATCATAGGGTAGGTCCCTCTCAGGCTAACATCTTACTTAACGGCAAAAAACTGGAATGGTTTCCCTTAAGACTGGAAAAGAGGCGATAATCTTCTCTTCCATGACTTCCATTAACACTGAGTGCACAGCTCCAGGAAGGAGAGGTGCAATGTCTCTGCGGCCTGCCTCGAGAGGTGCTCATTCCTACCTGCAGCAGCTCTGTCGCTGGCCACTGGCACCGAAGCTCCAGACCTGAAATAAGTTCCTGTACCAACTGGCTCTGTTGAGCCAGCTCAGCTTCTGCCTCCGCCAGGCTGTCGAGTATCAGCTGCTCCTCTTCCCCAAGTCTTTTCAGCTCTCTCTGCTCCTCCTCGTCCAGGATTCTTCTGAGCTGATCAAAACCCGTTTGTATCCTTTGTCTCTCAGTCTGGATCTGGCACTGCAGGAATGCACAGGGGGAGAGAGAGAGATGTAATGAGCCTGTCAGTCTGAGGTAAGATGTCACTATAAGGTAGCAGAACTTAATCCAGGGAGGACATAGGAAGAGAAGAGCAATCTGGGGGTGCTATTTTTAGCTTCTATTTTCCCTTTATTACAAGTCAACCCAGACAGGGACAAAAACTAAACAATCCCCTCCTTGTCTTATTTAGGAGACCTCCAAACTAATACAAGACTGGAATAAAGCTCAACTTGTAACGATTGTCTTGGGCACTCGTGGCACCCTACATCAGCACTTCTGGTTTTGAAATTTAGAGAAATTTTCTGTTTTTTTTTTTTTTTGGCCTGGTGTCTTCCAGCAGAAGTGTCAGAGCCTCTGGAGACAGGAGAAGAACAAAGACTCTTCCAGTCTTCAGCATTATACAGTTTATCATTGTGTTTGGTTCCAAATATTTATGTGTATTTACAACAAGTCTGCCCCCGTCCCTCATCCCTCAAAAGGAACTTATAGATAGCTTTGAACTCATTGCTTGTCAGGGAACAAAGATGAGGGCACAAGCATCTCCTGCCTTCCAGGAAATTCTGTCTTCTTCAATGTCAGCTTCCAATTTCTTCGCCTTCTCCTGTTCCTTCCTCAGCCTCTCGAGAGCTTTCTGTATATTCTCCTGTGAGAAACGAATCATATCTGTCATGCTTGCCACCTGGACAGAGAACTAACAAACCAGGTTGTTCCTAGTTTGTAGAAGTCATGAGGTTGATGCTGAACAGAAGAACATCTAAAGAGAAGGCATTCTGTAACCCTAGGGGAACAGAGCCATCATCTGCATACCAACGGGAGTCTACATCTCTTTCCCCAGAGAAAGTACAGACCATGTAGCAAGTGCAGTCCTTCCTCACCCTGATGTGCTTCCAGTTTTCTGTATTCCCCAGCAGAGGCCATGCTGAGAGGCAAGCTGAAAGCATTCCCCAATTGTGCATACAAGGGAAAGGAACCCCGAAACCTTCTGCTCTTGATCAAGAGATTGTGTGTATTGCAAGCCAATCCATTACATAAACGGAAAGAAAAGACATTTCTAGGCATTAGGGACCGAATATAAGGTAAGGGTTCGATATTATGGTGGTAATGTGAATCAAGAAGGTTGGGAAGTTGCTGGTCTGTGATGGCAAACGCCTTTAATCTCAGCACTTGGGAGGCAGTGAGGTGGATCTCTGAGTTCGAGGCCAGTGTGGTCTGTAGAGTGAGTCCAGGACAGTCGGGGCTATACAGAGAAACCCTGTCTTGAAAAAGAAAGGAAGGAAGGAAGGGAGGGAGGGAGGGAGGGAGGGAGGGAGGGAAAGACAGGGAGGAGAAGGAGGGAGGGAGGGAGGGAGGGAGGGAGGAAAGGTGGGAAGGTACAATTTCTTATCAAGAATCACATTGTGCCCTATCTTCTTCCCTTCAGGACCTTACCTGACATTCCTTGACTGCTTCCTCCCGGAGGAAAGTGTGGTGACCACGATGCTCCTGAGAATGCTCACAAACCCAGCAAATGATCTTTCTATCTTCCTTACAGAAGAGAAGGAGTTTCTCTCCATGGTGGATACAGAGATCTCTTTTTTCCCCAATGTCAGGGTTCACCTTGACTTCCCTAAGTCTCTCTACTACGTTTGCCAGATGTTGATTAACCTGTAGATTTTCAAATGAGAATCTAGTCCCACACACAGGACAGCTGCTTCTCCCTCTGGGGTTGATCACTGCATTCTTCTTGTTCGTGGTGATGCAGGCTTTGCATGCATTGTGGCCACAGCCTAGACTCATGGGTTCTTTCAAAAGTTCGTGGCAGACAGGGCAAATGGCCTCCTTCTCTGCATTCATCGGAACTGTTGAAGCCATTCTATTTCTCCCCTACTTTTTCTTGCCCTAACTTCTGAGGCTCTTCTTTCTTACAGACTGCTGGATGGCGAGGAAGATTATGAAATGACGGTATCTCAGTCTGAAAGGCAACTTAGAGGAGCACGGTCACTTCATATCCTTCAAGGAGGGTGATATGATGGCAAAAACCACTTAATTTTCAGCTGTGAATAGACAGAATCTGAAACAAAGAGCAAACCAATTGCAATTTGTTGAATGGATCAGAAATACTCCAGAGGAAGAATGGAGTGGCGGCACAGGAAAGATTAGGGACTGAGGCAAAATGAAGAAAGAATAAGAAGCTTAGAAAACAGTTCACACAGGCCTTAGCTTAGCACTGGGCAGAAGTGCAGGCTACCAGCACAAGTCCTAGGATCTGCAATGCACACTGGCATGGGCAAGGTCTCTTTCCTTCCTAGAATTTGGCCACAAAGTGCAGTGTTGAGTCACCCTGATTGGGAACTTGCAAGTTTGGAAGTTTCCCTGCTTTCGTTATTAAAAAACAAAAACCAGCTGGGCAGTGGTGACACACGCCTTTAATCCTAGCACTCAGAAGGCAGAGGCAGATCTCAGTGAGTTTGAGGCTGGCCTGGTCTACTTAGCAAGTTCCAAGACAGCCAAGGGTACAAAGAGAAAAACTGTCTTGAAAAAACAAAAATAAAATTAAAGTTTAAAAATCATATATTTCAAATCAAGATGTCACTAAGAACAAGAATGAACCAAAGCCAAAACGGTAGAAAGAGAAGAGCTGAAGCTGCTGAGATGGAAGCTGAAGGGGTAAAATGAATCAGTTAACCAGAGTCTTTGAAAGGGCGAACTGCCCGAAAACATCTTAACCAAAGGAGCCAGCCGAATGAGAGAGGTGGGTGCATATTACCTGTACACCTTGTATAAACAAACGCACACAATGTAAAAGAACAAAAGATATCATTCTTAAAAGTTAACAAAAGCTAAGGAACATTAAAAGATGATGCTCAACCTACTGTTGATTGGCCCACAATAAAAGAGAAGCTTGAAAAGCACTAAGCACTGTGGAGATGTGGTTCAGTAGCTAAGAGCTCTTGTTGCTGCTCTTTCAGAGGGTTCAAGTGAGTTCCTAGTCCCCATAGAGCGTCTCAGAACTCTCCATAACTCATGTTCCACAGGATCAAACCCTCTTCTGACCCCCAAAGGCACACATGGCACACACACTCTTTCTCTCATCTCCCATCCTTTCTTTTTTATTATATTTTTAAATTTGTACTTTGTTTGTTTTGTTGTTTTTTTTTCTAGACAGGGTGTGTGTGTGTGTGTGTGTGTGTGTGTGTGTGTGTGTGTGTGTAGTTTTGGCTGTCCTAGAACTATTGCTTTGCAGACCAGACTGGCCTGGAACTCACAGAGATCCGCCTGCCTCTGCCCCAAATGTTGGAATTAAAGACATGTGCCGCCACCACCACTCAGCTTAATGTGTAGTTTTGAGACAAGGTCTCAAATAGCCCGGGCCAGGCCTCAAGTTGGCAGGACAAGCAAGCATGACCTGGAACTAACTTCTGATCTTCCTGTTTCCACCTCCCAGGTGCTGTTATTCTATATAGATGTCTATCACACCCCATACTTTCTCCTGACTGCGTATTTGTTCTCTGTAATAAAACTCCAACTCCTCACAGTGCCTCTCTGGATTCTTTCTCTAACTATAGCAAGAATCCGGAGACTCTAGGTAGAGGTCTCTTATGGGCTCACTACCTTCGAGACCTCCCGAGCCATGTTCTCACTGGAGCAACTCCCATGCCCACGTCCTAGTCCTTTCTCTGCAGCTCCTCTGGTATGCAACATCTTCCCCGCATTCAAAGGAAAACCGACCTGTGGTAAAGACGTCAAATTCCTCACTCTTTTTTATTTTATTTGTTTATTCAATTTTCTTTATTCCTCACACTCTTAAGATTCTACTGAAGTTTCCTAACTCTGCATACTGAAGCTTTAATCTTCTAAACCTGTGATTCTGAGCCAGAGGCAGGTGGATCTCTGTGAGTTCAAGGCCAGCCTGGTCTACAGAGCTAGTTCCAGGACAGCTAGAGCTATTACACTGAGAAACCCTGTCTCTCAAGACCAAAACAAAAACAAACAAACAAATGAAAACTCCAAAAAAAAAAAAAAAAAGAAAACTGTCATTCCATAGCATCAGTTACTTCTTGTATTGTCTAAAAGTTACTTAACTTTTGTATTGCTATTCTAGATAGAGTGTAAGCTTGTATATTTATTTCATATTTAGTAAATACTGAGTGGATGCTTATTACACTTATTTAATACCTGACACGTGCTTTATTTCCATTGACATTTTCTTAAAAAAAAAATAAACACAGAAATCCCGATTAACTTCTGTGTTTGGCCTTGACTAAACTCTGTAGCAGCGACCAGAGGCATCTCCAGCAGTCAGGTGCAGACAGAACAAGGCAGGTGATGTGAACTCTGAAAAGGGAGGGTCTTAGACAGTGGCAGGTGTTGAACCCATTCATCAAGGTACAAAATGTCCCTATGTTAGCCTAAGGGGGGGGGGAGGAAGGGATACACAAGATCAACAGAGAAAACATCTTAGCAAGACTGTCAACACCACCGGGGCTTTCCTCAGCAATAGGTAGCTCTTGTTAACTAGCTCAGAGCAAGGGAACAAGGAACTGACTTAACCTTCAGTGTGCGCAGGAAGAATGGGTGACAGCCAAAGGCAGGTGAGGACGCCAAGGTCACTTAAACAAGGTTGGAGGAGGTACAAGTTTGCAGTCCTGGCTACTTAAGAGGATCATGCAGGATGATATCTGAGCCCAGAAGGCCAACCAGCCTCAGCAATGCAGTAAGACAAGTCTCAAAAATAAATGAATGAATACATTTTTAAAACAATCAGTGTTAGGTAAAAGCAAATAGTCATAAGATTGGAGCGCCAAAGCTACAAAGGCTAAAAAGTTACACAGGGCCATCCAACTTGCTGTTCTCAAGTCGGTCAAGGGCTCAGGATGTTAGGATAACCCCTTAGTGGGAGTAGGAGGGGAGTAGCGACTCTCCTTAGTCCAAGTCCCTGAAACTACAGTAGCTCGTAGGGAGAGGGAAGAGCAGGGAGGATCACCTGGAAGAGGGGGGAAGGGAGGGGAAGGGTTCCTGAGATCCAGACCTGTTTGCCAGGCATGCCCCAGAGAAAGAAGGGTTCCTTCAGAAGCGAGGCCCTCCTATTTAACTTTCAAGTCGATTCCGCCCCAAACTCCTTTTCTTCCTTCAAATCACAATGGTTTCTGCGAGCTAAACGATCTTCCCCAAGCTTCACTGAGTTCTCTCCTCCCCGGGTCTCCCTCCCTCAGCCCTGCACAAACTTTCACACACACACACCTCTGGACCCTCACCTCTGGGCCCTCCAGGTTGAAGCGGTGAGGGGAAAAGCCAGGGGCAGCTTTGCTCAGCACCCGGGTTCAGCCCACCAGCAGCCCCTCCCTCTCCCGACACCAAGAGAAAAGAAACTGAAACTCCGGACCTGCAGGAGGAGGATAGAGGAAGAAACTTCTGGGCAAAATTCTATGCCGCCGATAGAGGGCGATGCAGCAACCTTGGTGATCGGGGAGAAAGGAAGACTTGATCCAGAGTAGAAATTTTCAGAGGCCAAGTTCTTTTTGTTGATTGTAACCAAGGGTGTCGCTGACATCAGGTAGGCAGAGGCCATGATCAGGAAAGATTCCACACAGTAAGAAGGCAGTCACGAACCTGGGAGACGCAGGAGAAGCCTTTATTAACGTGTGAGCCGAAAATCAAACAAATGGCCCGCTGAGCTTTACAGTTTCTTACAGCCTTTTCCTCGCCCTGCGGCGGCGGCAGCAGTTCTGCTCAGTTGCTCTCTGAGGGTGGTCTTGGAGTTCCTTAGTCATCAAAGGAAGTTCAGGGAGGCAGGTTCACGGGAACAGAAATCACTGGAGACAAAGTTTGTAGTCATGAAAATGCGCAGGTGTTCCTGAATAACACTAGCCCCTGGGTTGTGAAAACAGGATCTGCTGCATGCTCAAGTATCACCCCCCCCCACACACACACCCAAGGCATAGTGTTTTTTGTTTTTTTTGTTTGTTTTTTCTTTTGTTTTCCAGACTGGATTTCTTTGGAGAACATCCCTAGAGACCAGGCTGATCTCAAACTCACAGAGACCATGCACCTCTAACACCGGGCTACATAATGGTTTTTAACAAGCAGGCAGAGCTCTTGGCCTCCCTAGGTAAAACCAGGATAGGCTCCAAAGCTACAGAGAAACCCTGTCTCGAAAAACAAAAAGAAATATTTTAAATAATGGGCAGGAATAGCAAAAATTAATGTCACACACCATACCAGAAGTCCACAAAACATAACAACACCCAGCCAAATAATTTTTTTAAAAAGCAAACAATAGAGTTGTCAGGGAAGAGAATATCCAATTAGTCAGTGCAAACAGTTGAATATAGGGCCTTGCGCACGCTAAGCCTCTCCTTTGAGTTCCTCCTGAAATTAACTTTTAATTATGTAGTGTTGTGCCCAGATTACGACCCCCAGAGAGAAACCATCAGAGAGGCCCAGACTGTAATAAGCGAGGTTTAATCAGCATAATACAAACAAGTGTGGAGCTCCTCTCCATCCCCCTTACAGCAAGGGAGAGAGGAGTTGTATCTCCTCTGTGGGGTGAGCTTTTAAAGGCACAACTACAAAGAGAATCTTTGAAGCTGCTTTGGCACGGGTGCAAGGACTTTTGCTCCCTCCCATTCTGCTAAGTCAGCTTTTCCCTTGTTTTTAGAGCAAGGCCATCTTTATCAGCTCTTGCCAGGTGGCTGGCTGGGCTGAGCTAAGTGACCTTGTGTTCGGAATCTCCCAGGTGGGAGAGGGGAAGGCCACTATCTTCCTGGGAAAACATTCTGCTAGGAAATTTCTTCTTGCCCCTTTGAGAATAAGGGGTGAAGGTTCTACATGTAGTATGTCATTAAACTAAAAAGAGAAGTTATTAGGATAATAAGATTTTTACTTTAAAA